AGCAAGGGCCTCCAACCTAATAGCAATGGCCTCCAACCTGCTAGCGATGGCCTCCAACCTACTAGCGATGGCCTCCAACCTAATTGCGATGGCCTCCAACCTTCAATAGCAAGGGCCTCCAACCTAATAGGGATGGCCTCCAACCTACTAGGGATGGCCTCCAACCTAATAATGGCCTCCGGTCCAACCTAATAAATAGCAAGGGCCTCCAACCTAACCTACTAGCGATAGCCTCCAACCTAATTGCGATGGCTTCCAACCTAATAGCAATGGCCTCCAACCTACTAGCGGCTACTAGCGATGGCCCTCAACCCATTCGCAATGGATTATTTTCCGGGTGCTGGTCACACAAGGGATTCATCCTTGCATCTCAGGCTACTTACCCTTTGCGGATGACCTTGATGATCCGACGGAGGTGTGCACTGCTGTGCTGAAGGAGACACACCCTGGGAGATCATGGTGGCACGATCAATGGCCGAAAGCAAAACAAATAAACTTTCAGCAGAAGAAGGAAGAAGAGAAGACACAATGATCAAGCTAGACCCCCTGCAGGCCCGAAAGTTTTAAGCAAAGCGTGCACAAGGCAAGTCTGTCGCAAATGCTAAAAAACTTGGTCAAGTCTTCGCAAGTGCTAGACTCTGTCAAGCTGCTTGGTCAAGCCTCTCGCACATGCTAAAACTTGGTCAGGTCTCTCGGTCAAGTCTAAAGCTGGATCGAGTCTCTTGCAAGTGCTAGACTCCTTTACAAGTGCTAAAGCCTGAGCAAAGCTCTTACACGTGCAAAAGCCTTTGCTGCAGGAGTTTGCAATTGGTAAAACTTGATCAAGTCTCTTGCAAGCGCTAGGCTCTTACAAGTGCTAAACCCTAAGCAAAACTCTTGCAAGTGCTAAAGCCTTTGCAATATTTTTTCTAAATGCTTAAGCCCTGAACTAGACAGACCAAGTGCCTTTAAGAAGAACCCTTCGATCAAGTCTTTCGGGAAAAGCGGGAAAGGCTCGGCCTTGCGTCTCAGCCTATTTCGGCCGTTCTGGACCAGATCGTTCCTAGGAACAAGTGCCACGCTAGTAGTAACAGGTGCCTTACTAGTAGTAACAAGAAGCTATTAGGAACAAGTGCCCACGGATTGAAAGGACGAAGAAAGATTTTTCATATCACTTGTTCCTAATAGCTTCTTGTTACTACTAGTAAGGCACCTGTTACTACTAGCGTGGCACTTGTTCCTAGTAGCTTCTTTTTCTGAAAAAACAAAGCGAAACGATCTAATGTTTGTTCCAGGACACCCTACAGTTCCCGTCGAGCTACAAGGACGTTGCCTGGCTGCAAGGGAAAGCTGGTGTCAAAATAAGTCCTCGCATATGAAGAGGAACAATGGATTCTTTCCTTAGCCATTACTATTCTTTGTTGCAATATGTTTCCTTCTGCAGAAGCGTCGATAACCCTTTCACTGGGAACGGGTTGAACGGTTGAACCTTTTGAGCTATTTCTTGACCACTTCAGATCCTTGATTTCCATTTCCTAGAAGTGAATGTCAGCCCTGAAACATGGAGGCATTTGTGAGATTGGCCCAGGCTAATGGCAAAACCTTGATGAAAGGTTTGCTGACCCGACAGCCCCGGAAACGCTTGGGTTCTGGGCTTGGTGGATGGGAGGCATCTCAGCTGCACCGGCAAAGGTCGGGGCATGTGTCCGGCTGCCGGGGGAAATCATGGTCAGGTATTCCTCGGTGCTGTAGTGATCTTCTTTAGTCTGTTCATGTTTTGTATGTTCACCTGGAGACATTTTCTCAACCCATCTCAACCCGTTGAGGATGTGCGTGGTGCAGAGTATTTCTTGCACGGCCACGCGGGTGGCTCCTTGTTCGACAAGCTCTTGGGCCGTGAGCTGCAGCCTCCGTGGGTGCCAAAGGCGGGTTGCTTTGGAAGAAGTAGCCTTTGAAGCGATGGCCTCCAACCTAGAAGCGATGGCTTTCCGCCCTACTAGCAATGGTCTCCAACCTCCTAGCAACGGCCTCCAACCTAGAAGCGATGGCCTCCACCCTAAGAGCCATGACCTCCAACCTGGAAGCGATGGCTTCCCAACCTAGAATCGATGGCCTCCACCCTAAGAGCCATGACCTCCAACCTGGAAGCGATGGCTTCCCAACCTAGAATCGATGGCCTCCACCTTAAGAGCCATGACCTCCAACCTGGAAGCGATGGCTTCCCAACCTAGAATCGATGGCCTCCACCTTAAGAGCCATGACCTCCAACCTGGAAGCGATGGCTTCCCAACCTAGAATCGATGGCCTCCACCCTGAACATGAAAGAAGCCTCTGATTCGTCCCCAATTTGATGCATTTATTCGCACGATCGCCCCTGCATGAGGGAGAGACCTACTGCGATCCAGAGGAACTGGATGTCTCGCTCAGTTCGCCTCTCAGAGCTCCTTTCTCAGCTGGCACAACGAGTCACAAGAAGTTCCTAGTGGCTTCTTGTTCCTAGTAGTAAGGCCAGGAGCCCCTAGTAGCTTCTTG